GCTCCGGCAGAGGCAGCTCACCAGCAGACTGCACTTTGACCCCACTTCAATGGCCTCCTGAAATTAGGGGGAGTGTTCCTGGCAGAGGGTGAAGGGCTAATTTCTGATCATCCTGAGAGAAGGGCTGGGAGGTGATAGAACGTCCCTCCCTTTCCTACCTGCCCATCCACCCCTTCTACCCTGTCCCAACCTTCTCCCTGGTAGGAGGTTCTCAGTAGGAAAGAGATGAGGGTTTGGTCAAAAATGCCCCTTCAAGGGTGGGCGTTATGGGTTAATTTTACTAATCACAAATTGAGAGTCAGAGAAGTAAAACTGTGAGAGGTGTGTGAACCAGAGCAACTCCATCTTGAACAGAAGCTGGGGAAAATAAGGCTGAAACCTACTGGGCTGCATTCCCAGATGCTTAAGGTGTTCTAAGTCACAGAATGAGACGGGAGGTCAGCACAACATACAAGTCACGAAGACCTTGCTGATAAAACAGGTTGCAATAAAGAAGCCGGCCAAACCCACCAAAGCTAAAGCGGCCAGGAGAGTGACCTCTGGCCGTCCTCACTGCTACACTCCCACGAGCACCCTGACAGTTTACAAATGCCACGGTAACATCAGGAAGTTACCCTATATGGTCTAAAAAGGGGAGGCATGAAGACACCACCCCTTGTTTAACATATCATCAAAAATAACCATAAAAATGGGCAACCAGCAGCCCTCGGGCTGCTCTGCCTATGGAGTAGCCATTCTTTTATTCCTTTATTTTTTTAATAAACTTGATTTCACTTTCCTCTATGGAGTTACCCTGAATTCCTTCTTGTGTGAGATCCCAGAACCCTCTCTTGGATCTAGATCCGGACCCCTTTCTTGTAACAAAACCACAAGCCCAAAGGTCACACAGCTGGGAAGCAGCCCAGCTGAAAGAAATAGGAGGAGCCTCCCTATCAATCCCCATTCATTCATTCATTCATTCAACAGAAACGTCCTATGCCCCCAGCATTGTTCTTGATGCTGAGAATGTTGTGGTCCTTCCTGTGTCCAACGCACTCATATTCTCGCCGACTGTTGGGTGAGAGAAGTGAATTGCTGAATGCTGATTAAGAAAACCATCAGAAAGTGTAAAGCAGAAATTAAACAGGGCAGGGAGACTGGGAGTAACCAAGGGTGGGCGGTGGTTGCTTTCGGTCGGGAGGGCAGGGACATTTTTTCAGAGGGAGAAGCAGTTCAGCTGAGCTCTGGGTGAAGAAGGAGCCCATCTTGCCAAGACCCAGAGGAGGCTTCCCCCAGCAGAGGCCCCAAGGTGGGCAGGGTTTGGCCAGGAACTGAAAACTGAAAGGGACCAGAGAGGAATCCTCAGCCTGCCTTCTCTGACCTTGCTTTGAGCTTTTACAAACTGCTTTAAAAATCTCTTCTTTATTTTAAATTTATATATATATATGTATTTTATATGTATATATATAAAATATACATATGGGTGTGTGTGTGTGTGTGTGTGTATATATATATATGGGACTCTGAACTCTAGAGAACAAGCCAGGTCACCCAGTGGGAGACATGGGCTATTCAGCTGCCCCGGTGCTCTGAGGTCAGGATGACCCTCTGGCTGACCTCAGTCAGGAACCCCAAGTGTGAATGCCCCCCAGTCCTCCTCAAGGGGACACTGAGATAGGGTAGGGAGGGGGTGGCAGGAGCCCAGCCCCTCCTGCACATCACAGCAAGGTGAGGATGTGGGGAAGGAACATGGGCATTTGGAAGCAGGATTCAGCTGGAAAGACAGGCGGGGCCTTGGAGAAGTCGTCCCTGTCACTTTTTCCTGCGCTGGGCCCCCTGGAGGTGGAACCCTGCATCCCAGGTGGCCTGAGACTTGTACCCACCAATGGGTAGGTTTCTGCCTTTGACACATGTCACCCCCACCTGGTAGTCCCTGGGTGTGGCTAGGAGGTAGAGTGGGACATGGCCCTGGAGCCAGAGATACCTGGGTTCGAATCCCAACCCTGCCACTTATCAGCCAGTGACTCCCCCTTGGAGTTTCAGTTTCTACAGCTGTCAAATGCAGTAACAGTACCAGCGCCTCAAGGTAGGTAAGAGGAGGGGTGAATGGGCACCACAGGTGTTCAGTGTCCACTCCACCTCCCACACTGGGCAGAGTCTAACCTCAGAGGGAACAGGAAGCACAGTGGCTGCCTCTGCCATCCAGGAGCACTGAGAGGGGTGGGAGGAGAACCGAGGCTTCCCTGGGAATCGCTCCTTCCTTGCTGCCTCTCGTCCAGTTTCAATCATTGAACGCTGGTCCAGGACAAGAACTTGCAGCGTGGGACATTCCAAGTCCTGCTGCCTGAGGCCCCACCTGTGCATCTAGCCTCCTAATCTAAATAAATCCCATGTCTTTACCAGTCTGAGATTCATTCATTCATTCATTCATTCATTCTTTCATAATTCATTTATTTGTTCAACAAATCCGTATTGATCACCTACTACATATCAAGCCTGCCCTGGTGATAAGGTGGTCACAGATGGGAGCACCCCAGGCACAGCTCAGCCCCCGGCCGAAGTGAGAGCGGGTTACAGTCCCTGGCTCCAGGCTTGCTCACCCAACACAAATTTCATCAGCTACCCAACCCCTCAGGGACATTGATCCTGTTCCCTCTTGGGGGTAAATAAATCCTAAGGAATCTAAACCAAGCAGGCTCATCTATTGTCTTGGGTAACCTCTGGGTTAGGGGAGCCTGTCCTGCAGGGAAGTCTGCTGGGTGGTGCTGGGGGACTTATTAAAAGGACACAGGGGGCTGGGTGCAGTGGCTCACATCTGTAATCCCAGCACTTTGGGAGGCCGAGGCAGGCGGATCATGAGGTCAGGAGATTGAGATCATCCTGGCTAACACGGTGAAACCCCATCTCTACTAAAAATACAAAAAAAATTAGCCGGGCGTGGTGGTGGGCGCCTGTAGTCCCAGCTACTCGGGAGGCTGAGGCAGGAGAATGGCGTGATCCCAGGAGGCGGAGCTTGCAGTGAGCCGAGACTGCGCCACTGCACTCCAGCCTGGGCAACAGAGCGAGACTCCGTCTCAAAAAAAAAAAAAAGAAAAAAGAAAAAGAAGACACAGGAAGAGAGGAAGGCACAGCGTCTCCTTGGCTGGATGCTGTCACATCCCGCCCTGCAGGCTGGCATCGTGGTTGCCAGCTTGGAGCTGTGAGGGGAGTCACCCAGAGGGCAAAGCCAACACACAGAGGGTGGCTTGCCAGGAGCAGGAAGGAAATCAGGCCCTGATGATATCAAGCGCTGAAGAGCCAGACTTGGAACCACCTCCTCTCTGATCGTCTCATCATGTGAGATCATAAATGCCCGCATTGTTTCAGCCCACTGAGTCACAGTTTTTAGCTGGAAGCTTCTTAACCAATACAAACGTGATGTGGCGAGGGAGTGAAGCCAGAATAGGCTGGGGTGAAGCTGTGGCTCTGCCTTTCTGGGGTTGTGGGACCTCAGGAGGATCCTTAATTATGAAATGGGGATCCTAATGGCTAAGTCAGCCCACATTAATATTAAGAGAGATGTTACTGCAAAGCCATAGGGAGCTATTGGGCCAAATTTGGTAAACCAATAAGAGTCGTCAGCTCCCGATGGAGTCTCTTGAATAAATGGACATTATGCATCCAATGTCCCTGGGAGAAGACTTGGTGGGGAAGGAGGAGGACACTTTCTCCTCCTGATTTCTCTTGGGGGTGACTTTAGATCTGGTCACTATGAAATAACAACAGTAACCATGCCATTAACATTTAAAGTTAACACCCTGTGCCAGGTGCCTGCTGTGCTAAGAATTTAATCTACACTAATCTTATTTAATTCAAACACAAACACCTTCTTATTTTCTTCTTTTTAAAAAATTTTCAGTCGAGTGCAGTGCCTCAAGACTATAATGCCAACACGTTGGGAGGCCAAGGCAGGAGGATCACTTAAGCCCAGGAATTTGAGGCCAGCCTAGGCAACATAGTGAGGCTCCATCTCTACAAAAAATACACAAATTACCCAGGCGTTCGGGTGCCTGGCTACTCAGGAGGCTGGGGCAGGAGGATCACTGGAGCCATGGAGGTCGAGGCTGCCGTGAGCCACGATCGTGCTGCTGCATTCCAGCCTGGGCAACAGAGCAAGACCCTGTCTCAACAACAACAACAACAACAACAACAAAATTCATATTTTTTGTAGAGATGAGGTCTATGTTGCCCAGGTTGGTCTCTTCTTATTTTCATTTATACTTTACAAGCAGAGAATGTTTACTCCTGTAAGGTACATGGTTAGTCACTGATATAAGTGAAATTTTTTTTTAAACCTAGACTTTTTATTTTATTTTAGTTTTTGAAACACAGTGTCACTCTGTTGCCCAGGCTGGAATGCAGTGTTGTGATCTTGGCTCACTGCAACCTCTGCCTCCCGGGTTCAAGTGATTCTCCTGCCTCAGTCTCCCGAGTAGCTGGGATTACAGGAGCCCACCACGAAGCCTGGCTAATTTTTGTATTTTTAGTAGAGACAAGGTTTTGCCATGTTCGGAAGGCTGGTCTTGAACTCCTGACCTCAGGTGATCCCCCTGCCTCAGCCTCCCTAAGTGCTGGGATTACAGGCATGAGCCATCATGCCTGGCCTAGACTTTATACGGCAGTTTTAGGTTCACAGCAAAATTGAGAAGGTACGGAGATTTCCCTACCCTGTTCCCCCACACAGGCACAGCTGCCCCCACGGGTATCCCCACACAGAGTGGTACGTAGAACTGGAATTTGAACCCGGTGCCCACAGTCCTTCATTCCTATGACACCACCTCACATGAGTCACCACATCTCAGAACTGCTCAGTCAGCTGAGGCACAGGTGGTGCCACCGGCCCAGAGTGTGGGTGAAGGCAGGTGCCTCAGCCCCCTGGCTGGAAACAGCTAACCACACACCAATGGCAGATTGGGAATTCTCACAGGAAAAAGTTGTCCCTCTTCAGTCTCTTTCCTTAGAAGCAGAGCCTTAGACAAGGATTCTTGTGCAAACGCTTTACTGAGGGAGTACTTTCTGGAGAAACCTGTGAGGGAACCAGGAAAACTGAATAGGCCATGGGGTCCGACCAAGCAGAGAGGTGGTTCCAGGAAAGGCCTGGCCTCAGCCCGATCCCAGGAGGAATTCGAGAGTGTTGTTCCGCCCAGACAATCCTGCACAGAGGCAGGGGAGCTGGCAGTTGTACCCTCCATAGTGTCAGACTCTCCTGGCCATGAGTGACAGGTGGCCTCTTGGTGGGAGAGGTGGGGCGGGGGGCAGGCAGCTCCCTGTAGACCAGGGCAATATTTAAGAGAAGGAGGCAGATTGGAGCAGTGAGCTGCCAACACCTGGCCTCACTCAGGGAGAGGGGCCTTGGGCCTGGAGGGGATCTGGGTGGGGTACCCACACCATCTGCTGCAACTTCTGTGTATCCATTATGGGCTTGCTCCATTCACAGGCATGAATTGAGCACCCAGTATGTGGGGAAACAGGGGAAACAGAGATGGTACAGACATGGCCTCCATCCTTCAGGGCTCCAGTTTTGTTGGGGGAGATCAGAGAAGTTCCATTTGCCACTGTAGGCCAAGCTTGGTAAGCGGCAGAGCCGTGAAGCATTGTGGGAGCTTGGAGGACAGAGCGAGCCTTTGCAGTCAGGGAGGAGGAGTCAGTCCGGGGAGACTTCCAGAAAGTAGCCCTTTGACCCCGAGGAGGTGGGGATCAGTCGTGATGAAAGTAATAGCCATTCAGTAGCCCCTTGTAATTCACCCTGAGCCGATGCCTGGAGTCAGGAGAAAGTACTCAAGGCTCTGGTGCCCGGAGCCATATGAACTGGCGGCTTTGTCTAGCGCTTCACCCAAGAGGGATTTATGGAGCTCCTTGGTTCTGAGTGTTGCTTTGGGCACCGGGGATGCAACTGAGTTTAAGACAGGCATGGCCTCCACCTGCAGGGACGTCAGAGCTTGCCTGGGGAGAGGGTCACACGGCCGGACAGTGCGGGGTCCCCAACGCCTATGAGAGGCTTTATCTTAGGACAGTGGAGGGCCTTGAGATTTTAAGAGAGAGTCACATGGACAGAAAAATCAATATTGCCCTTTAAAGTGGCTGCTCCGGTTGTAGCTCCGAGACTATACTGGAGGGGGTGAGAAAGGACCGGGGAGACAGCAGGTAGGGGACAGCGGCAGACCTCTCCCCCGATCCCGATGCTTTGGTCCAAACACCATCTCTGAGGGCTCCCTTGCTTGGGCTTCTCCCAAGATTCCCATCCACCCCAGAGGACACAGCTGCTGCCTCAACTGGGAGGATTCAGAAAGCTTCAGAAGGTTAGAAGGCACTGGTAGGGGGTTCCGGGGGAGGCTGGGACTACCTCCCCACGGAGTGTTTGAAAAGCCAGGCTGGTTCAGGTTAGATACTGATGCGGGGATGCGGGAGCTCCATGCTGAGGAACAGGGTAGAGGGTGTGGACTTCTAGCACCCAGGGGTCTGCCCCTGGCAGCGGGGCCGCCAGTAGAAACGCAGTCGCTTCTTGTAGGTGTCCAGGTTACGCTTCAGGCAGAAGGCCACCTCCTTGTCACAGGCACACAGCTGCTGCTCACACCAGCTTCCCTTGTCAGCTGTGGGCGGAGGAGTGGGAGCTCTGTGTCTGTCCTTTCCCAAGACAGAGCCAGGTATGGGTCTAGCAGCCTCTGAAGGCAGTGCAGTTCCTACTCAGTCATGGAGGTACCGGTCCCAGCAGCCTCGATTCTAGCTGCATGACCTTGGCCACGTACCATGACCTCCCTGTGTGCCATTGCACCTTCAATTATTTATCCACCCATTCATTAAATAATTATTGAGCACCTACCGTGTCTTGGCAGGAGAGGACTTAATGATAGGGACATGGGAGGGGGCAGGTGTTAGAGCATCACAGGGAGGAATAAACAACTATGCAAAGTGAAAGTGAGGAACCACGCAGGGCTAGGAGATCAGAAAACAGGGTGGAAGAGCCTTTTGAGCTGAGATCAGAAAGGTCTGCTCTTCCTGGAGGAAGCTGCGGTTGGGGAGTGGGGCTGGTAACAGTCTATGCAAAGACTCCATGCAGGAGGGATCACAGTTTCATTATCTGTGCAGTGGGGATAATAGTAAGAGCTGCCTAGGGGGCTGCTATGAGAGTTAAAGTAAGAAGACAAGGCACTTAGCCTATAGTAAGTGCTCAATAAATGTTGGATATTATTGTTACTATTATTATGAAGCCCTCAATGAACAGTGGCTGCTGTGATGAAACCTTTCGATTCCTAGCCCTGAGGACCTACTACATTTCTATGCTTGTGATGCTGGAAAGGATGCAGGGGCCAGGTGCCCTGGGTTCCAGCCCAGGCTCTGTCAATTGGAGGCAGACACTTCCCCACTGTAGTTTTGGTTTCCTGGTCTGTAAAATGGAGATAATCAGGGTTTTGCTGATCTTTGACAGGCTGCCCGAGTGACTCCATGTGGTGATGAAGAAAGGAATAGCCAATCGGTAGCCCTGTGTAATTTATTGTGGCAAGCATCCTGTGAGGCCCATTCTGTCTGTCTCATTTTAGTTCTTGCAATAACTTAATGGGGGTAGATTACAGATGGTGATACTGAGGTTCAGGGAGGTTAAGCAATGTGGTCACCAAGCTGGTTGGTAGTGGGCCTGAATTCCAGGTGCTAAAGTGGTCAAACCTCCCATGGGCCCTCTCCATACCACCATACCCATTCTTGCCTCTTCACAGCCCAACTGCAGCCAGTGGGCCCACGTAAAAAAACAGAGAGGTCAAGTAGCTGTACTGTGAAGGCAGTGGGGGCCAGAACTCGCTTCCTGGGGTCTCCAACTCCAGCCCTGAGGTCTGGGTACTCACAGCAGTGGATGTCCCCCTGGGAAAAGCTGTATCTGTAATGGTCCGTGTGGACGCAGCATCCGTGGGTCTTCAGGTGGTCGTAGCAGCAGTCATGGGTCTGGCAGCACCTGCAGCAGACGGGGTACACAGCTGCATGGGTACCCGGCCTACTGGGGTCTCTGGCTGCTCCCCCACCGGAGAAGAACCTGCGTCCCCACCTGGGAAGAGTCAAGGCCTGCAGGGCTGCAGTCTTCCTTAAGATCATGATGACTAACATTTTTTGAGAGATTCCTACGTGCCAGACACTTGCTTTATCTATGCATTCTCTCTTAATCCTTAAAACCACCATGGGATGGAGGTACTCATATTACCCCCTCTTCAGAGATGAAGAAACTGAGACTCTGGGAGGTCAAGACACTTGCCCAAGGTCACACAGCCTGTAAGTGGCAGATCGGGGCAGTGTCCCCAGGCCTGGCTGGCTCTCACCGCTCCTCTAGCTGACTCCCAGGGTGGTTATGAAGATCAAATGAGATAACGGCAAAAAAGGCGGTTGGTGGCGGGGTTTTAAAACCATTGTCCATTGCAGTGGGGAGTGAACGTGGGCATTGCCACTAGAGTAGGGGATGGGAGTGCAAGGGGGTGTCTGGCCTTCAGGGACCCTGGGGAACCTTCCGGAAGGCAAGCTGCAGGAGGGCTTGGACCATATTGGCACTCAGCAGTTTCTAGCACATAGTAGATGCTCAACAAAATGGATTCAACTCAACTAAATGAATAGGTGGGTGGAGAGAAAAGAAGAGTCCTGGAGTCGGGGGCAGGATAGGATTGCCATCCCTGGGAAAGGAGTTACCAGTCCGTGGCATCTTTGGGCTGGCCTCTGCCACCTGGTCCGCAGTAACAGCCGTAGGGCCAGTAGAAGAAAAGGGGCATTTTCCCAGTCACTTGCTTGACCATCTTGTTCAGGTTCAGGATCCCGCCCTGGATTGGAATCACACCTGCCAAGCAGCCCAGCAACCAGGAGAGGAGAGGAGATGAATTTCAGGGCCACGCCAGTGGGCACAGGACAGCACTCTGCTCTGCCCAGACCAAATGAGTGACCTCAAATAATGATGATAATAAAATGACATCTACTACCGCTATTAAAAATACAGTGACAGGCCAGGCACAGTGGCTCACACCTGTAATCCCAGCACTTTGGGAGACAAAGTCTCGCTCTGTTGCCCAGGCTGGAATGCAGTGGCACGTCTCGGCTTTGAGAGGCCAAGGTGGGCAGATTGCTTGAACCCAGGAGTTTGAGACTAGCTTGGGAAACATGGTGACACCCTGTCTCTACAAAAAATACAAAAATTAACTGGGGGTGGTGGTGGACACCTGTCGTCTCAGCTACATGGGAGGCTGAGGTGGGAGGGTCACCTTAGCTCAGGGAGGTGGAGGCTGCAGTGAGCCGAGACTGTACCACTGCACTCCAGCCTGGGCAACAGAGTGAGACTTTGTCTCAAGGGAAAAAATGACAATTACTGAGTGCTTACTATAGGTCTTCTTGTGTATTGATTTCTCGACTCCATCTGGCTAGATAATTACTGTTAAATAAATAAACTTTTTATTTTGGAATAATTCTAGATGTACAGAAAAGTTGCAAAGATAGAAAGTTCCTGTATACCCCTCAGTCAATTTCCTCAAACGTTATCATCTTACTTGTGATTCACTTGTTAAAACCAACATTGGTACAATGAATATTATTTTTAATCCCCATTTTACAGATGAGCGGATTGAGGCTCAGTAACTTGCTCAAAGTCTTAGCGGCTGGTAAATGGAGCCAGAATTCATCACTTAAAACAGTCTGGTTTCATTCTCTGTCTCTGGGCGTTGATTTCCCACTCCGCAACAGGAAGAATAATCCCAACTCACCCTTCTTATCTCTAGTTCCTACAAAAATCTGAGTCTGTAATAAAGAGAGTGTGTGGGTCTCCTGGGAGGCAGCATGATTTAGAAATCAATACTTTTCATGGATAATTTTATTTCACTCTAATAAATGCTGGTTAGAATTGATAGTAAGGGTAATTTATTTTACTGGAAGAGAGGAATGCATTATGCTGAGTTAGGAGAAATAAAATATATTAAGTCCATGAATTCAAGTGGGAGGTTGGGAGAAACAGATGACAGAAAGGAAGGGAACTGTGCCTGTGTGCAACTCCAAGAGATGATTCGAGAATGCAGGCAGCACACGTCCAGACGGAGCCCAGAGTCTCAGCGAGACTGGGCTGGGCAGCCAATCTTCGAGTGAGCCTAGTTATGGAACCTGCACCCAACCTCAGGCAAATGAAGTCAACAGTACACTGTGGGTGAGCCCCACATTGGGGGCCGCTGGGGTGGGAAGGGTGGTTGGGAGGGACTCATGCAGTGGACAAAGAGTGAGACTACACGCGGTGGCCTTGGGCTGCAACTGAAAGTGACTGGGCCATTGTGTCCCCAGTGTGTCCCCTTGATGTGTGGGAGTCCATGTTGCCATGCCTGTTTGACATGGTGGCTCCAGCTGTTAAGACATGTACAAGAGAAGCTTTGCTAAGCTTTGGCTGCACTGGTGAAGGATCCCGGGCCCTCTGGAATGGTACACAATCCATCAGAGATTCCTGGATTCCATGATAAGGAACCCAACTGTAAACAGAGAGTCCACCTTGCAGATCAACCAAAGCCCCGCGTTCAGAATCTTGCCTTTCTTAGGGTATCTCTGTCCTCTTTTTTTTTTTTTCCCCCTAAATCTAGCCCTTTCCATCTGGGCTCAGAAATACATGAACTGAACTCACGCCTGAATGATGCAGCTCTTTCTTGCCATGTGAGAAATACATTCAGCTTTGAAATACATTCAGAATGCTTTCGGGTGGTCTTACTTGTCATAATTTTAAGGTGAGGAGGACCCAGCCCGAGAAGCAGGGCTGGAGCTGTGGCTGGGGAGGTGTTGGTGAACTGGCTTCACTTGTCAGCAGTTCTTGCCCGGGTAGCTTTTCCCACCCTTGGCTGCCACTGACGGGGATGAAGCTCCTTCTCCCAAGGGATGGGCACAGTGGGCAGGAGGATGTACCACTGCCATCTTTCATGCATGGGCCATGTGTGAAGCTATTATTTACGCTTACCCAACACTTAGTATCTGTTTTCTCATTAGAGTCCTTCTAACAGTCCCACCAAGCAGGTTATGCCCATTTTACAGATGAGGATATTGAAAGGTGGGGCGATTTGGCTAGTCACACTGCCAAGAGATGGCTGGGCCAGCATTTGACTGCAGGTTCATCTGTATATTTGATCTCTACAGTGTCTTCCCTCTTTACATGTGAGAGATGAATTTTTGCAGCTCGATTGTGAATTTCCTAATGGTTTTTGCTGTAATCCTGGAGACATGTTCCTCTAGAGAATTTTGGAGTCCCAAGATAATATAAAACTATATTTTGAAATGCAAGTCCTTTCCAAAATCACAATTTTGAGTTGGATTAAGGACAAAAAAGGCCAATTTGCTAGCAACTGCGTTTTATATTTGGTCTGCTTAAGATCAAATGGATTGGCCGAGCGCGGTGGCTCAAGCCTGTAATCCCAGTACTTTGGGAGGCCGAGGCGGGCGGATCACAAGGTCAGGAGATGGAGACCATCCTGGCTAACACCGTGAAACCCCGTCTCTACTAAAACAAATACAAAAAACTAGCCGGGCGTGGTGGCGGGCGCCTGTAGTCCCAGCTACTTAGGAGGCTGAGGCAGGAGAATGGCGTGAACTCGGGGGGCGGAGCTTGCAGTGAGCCGAGATCGCGCCACTGCACTCCAGCCTGGGGCACAGCAAGACTCCGTCTCAAAAAAAAAAAAAAAAAAAAAAAAAAGGTCAAATGGAAACTGCCCCACCCTTCACCGAAGGTCCAGGGAACCCTCTTCCCAGGTTCAAGGAAGAGCATGAACATGAAACGGCTCTAAAAACATGGAGTGCTATGCATTTGCACAGGTTGTTCTTATTCAGTGGGAGAGGCAGGGGTGAAGTGACCCGTGTCCAAAGCGTCATCATCATAGGCCCAGCAGACCCCAGTTCTGGATTTCCAGTTTGAACCTTCACAGCAGTCCAGAGACGTGCAGTGCAGCTTGGCCACCCAGAGCTCTCTGGCTGAAGCTACCATGCTAGGAGACTGGCGGCCACTGAAGGCTCTTTGCAGAGAGGCAGAAGGATTGGGGAGTGGGGTCCAGGGTCCTGGGGATCAGAGCAGCAGCCCCCCAATCTAGGAAAGAGAGCACAGGGGTGCACTGTCCTCCCTCCTTCCCTTCCCAGCCTGAGTCCCATCCGCAACTCACCAGCCATCACCACCAGCCCACACAGCAGGGCAAGTTCCATGATCCCAGCACAGAGCAGTGGAGGCAGCTGCTGGAAGTCTCTTGCCATGCGGGCTGCCCCCTTATATCAGATGCACCCCACCCAGGCTTCCCCAGCCCTCCCTCCCAACCCTCCCTCCCAGCCCTCACTCTCATGGAGGAAACACATGCTTCTTTCACTTCCATTCTTCTGGCACTGGGGAGTTTTTGTGTAACATATTTTTTTCCCTATTTATTTTATTTATTTATTTATATTCATATATATGTATATTTTGAGATAGGGTCTCACTCTGTCACTCAGGCTGGAGTGCAGTAGAATGATCATAGCTCACTCACTGTAGCCTCGAGCTCCCGGGCTCAGGCAATCCTCCTGCCTCAGCTTTCCAAGTAGCTGAGACCACAGGTGTGTGCCAATACGCCTGGCAATTGTTTTCTTTTTCTTTTCTTTTTTGTTTTTTTAAGACAATACTATGTTGCCCAGGCTGCTCTCGAATTCCTGGCCTCAAGCAATCATCAGCCTCCCAAAGTGCTGGGATTACAGGTGTGAGCACCATGCCTTGGCTTCCCTTCCACGCCCTTTTTGATAAAAGAAACATACACTCAGTGTAGAAGATTTGGAAAACCTAAATAATAAACTTAAAATCACCTGTAAACCTATTAAGCACCATTGAAACTTTGGTGTACGTCCTTCTGTGGTCCCGTTGCTACCTGTCTCTCTTTCTCTCTCTCTCTCTCTTCATACTTTTCCCTAACCAAATTAGGAAAATGTTATACATGCAGTGCTTCGTAGCCTATTTTTTCCTGACTTTTTTTTTTTTTTGAGACAGAGTCTTGCTCTGTCACCCAGGCTGGAGTGCAGTGGCCGGATCTCGGCTCACTACAAGCTCCGCCTCCCGGGTTTACGCCATTCTCCTGCCTCAGCCTCTCGAGTAGCTGGGACTACAGGTGCCCGCCACCTCGCCCGGCTAGTTTTTTGTATTTTTTAGTAGAGACGGGGTTTCACCGTGTTAGCCAGGATGGTCTCGATCTCCTGACCTCATGATCCGCCCGTCTCGGCCTCCCAAAGTGCTGGGATTACAGGCTTGAGCCACCGCGCCCGGCGCCTATTTTTTCATTTGCTGATATAACTTGCACATATTTCTATGTTATTAAATATTCCTCTCTAGTAACATTGTGAAAGGCAGGTTCCTGGCCAGGCACGGTGGCTCATGCCTGTAATCCCAGCACTTTGGGAGCCCGATGCAGGTGGATCACGAGGTCAGGAGTTCAAGACCAGCCTGGCCAAGATGGTGAAACCCCATCTCTACTAAAAAATACAAAAATTAGCCGGGCGTGGTGGCAGGCGCCTGTAATCCCAGCTACTCGGGAGGCTGAGGCAGAAACGTACTTGAACTCAGGAGGCAGAAGTTGCAGTGAGCCAAGATTGTGCTACTGCACTCCAGCCTGGGCGACAGAGCAAGACTCCGTCTAAAAAAAAAAAAAAAAAATGGCAGGTTCCTATTTCATTATACTGTTATATATATTATTATACTGCTATACCATTTATCTAATGAAGCTCCAATGACGGATATATGGTGGCTTCTGATTTTTTTTAATAATCTATACTGTACAGTGAAAGAAGGCCAAATTTCAGTCAGTTCATGTCAAGAATTGCTTCCACAGGATCTACTCCTAATGTGGACTCACTGAGTCAAAGCACACACACAATCTGAAGGCAGGCAATTGATGTGTGTTGACAACTGACCCTGCAGAAGGTCTGCCCCAGTTTACATGTGAGAATCTTAATGAGGCAAATGGGGTGGAGCCAGCCCAAACTGGGTGGAGGAGCTGGTGGGAGGACATGCCTGGCCATGGCACAGAGATGGTCAACCACCAGGGTTCCACTGAGAATCTTGTTCCCACACAGCAGAAACTGTTTTGCTTTGATGCCTGTTAGATGGCTGTCTAAGGACAGAATGCCCAGGCTGACCTCTGCTGCCAGTATAAAAGCTCATCCGAAAGAATATACTAGCAACAGCCACTGCTAGGAGCTTCTCTCTCTCTCTCTCTCTCTCTCTCTCTCTCTCTCCTCTCTTCTCTTCCCTCCCTTTTAAATCTGATTATTGCCTTTGTTCCTTGATTCAGTCAACCAGCTGACCAGCTCATATGTGTATCAACAATCTACATGCAAAATAATTCAACAGCAAGCAACGTAGATGTCTCTGGCACGTTTTTTGATGCACCCCCTCCCACGTAGGCTCAATAGTCCTTCCCTTGTGCACTTACCGGTGTGGTACCTTACGCTATAGACAATCCTTTAGACAGGGACTCTTGGTAGACCATGTGGCTACCTGTCAGAACCCATGCCACCCTCCATCTGGTATGGACGGATGAGAGCAAAAGCAGCTACAAGCCCTTTGTTGATTCCAGAAGGCTTTTCCCTAAAGGGAGAGAAGGCACGACATTGATGCTGCAAAGCATCCTCAAAAACCCCATCTTCAGAGTTGTCTTGGACACCTCCAGAAGCCCCAGGGCACATCCAACCTCTGATCCCAAGGTTTGGGATCAGACAGATCTGGTTCAAATCCTGGCCCCTTCTCCTACCAACTGTGGGACCCAGGGCAAATTACTTCACCTCCAGGAGCCTTGGTTTCTTCATCTGAAAAATGGGGTCAGCATCTCCCTTCCCTGATGGCTGTGAGATTTAGAGATAATGTCCATAAAGCACATAGCACCAAGTCTCACCGATCCAGGGAATGCCGTTACAGTAACCACAACACGCCTGGAGGTTAAGAGGACTGGGGAGATGGGATTCAAACCCAGACTGCCTAGGTTAACAGCCTGGCCTCCCTGACATCTGGCTGCTTAACTTGGAGCAAGCTGATGATTAGCTCCGTGTCTTCCTCTTGCTCCTGTGTAAGACAGGGCTGATGACAGTACCTACTTCACAGGGTTACTGTGAGGATGAAAAGATGAACAGGGTTTGGTCCACAGCTGGAGACCAATAAATGTCAGCTGCAGTAACCCCCATCATTCTCTTCCTCCTCCTCATGATCATCCTCATCATCACTGCTTAAAATAAGTGGAGTAACTAACCTTTTCTTCTGTATTCTCCGATCTGCTGTTCATCCTATCCATTGGTTTTTTCCCATCTCAGTGCATTTAGTCCCTCTATAAATTTGATCTGGGTCTTTTAAGTATTTTCCGTGCTTCTACTTAACATGCTTAATTAATCTTTCTTTCTTTTTTTTTAATTTTTAAATTTTTTTTGAGATGGAGTCTTGCTCTGTCACCCAGGCTGGAGTGCAGTGGTGCGATCTCGGCTCACTGCAAACTCCACCTCCCAGGTTCAAGCAATCCTCCTGCCTCAGCCTCCTGAGTAGCTGGGACTATAGGCATGCACCACTATGCCTGGCTAATTTTTGTATTTTAGTAGAGATTTTATTATGTTGGCCAGGCTGATCTCGAACTCCTGACCTCAGGTATTAACCTACCTTGGCCTCCCAAAGTGCTGGGATTACAGGCGTGAGCCACTGTCCCTGGCTTCTTTTATATCCTTAAACATTGAGAATCTACAGTAGTTCCCCCTTATCAGTTTCCTGGCAGTTTCTCTTTCCATGGTTTCAGTGACCTATGGTATACAGGTCACTGAGGTTTGTGTGTGTGTGTGTGTGTGTGTGTGTGTGTGTGTGTGTGTGTGTGTGTTTGAGACGGAGTCTCTCTCTGTCACCAGGCTGGAGTGCAGTGGCGCAGTCTTGGCTCGCCGCAACCTCCGTGTCCCAGGTTCAAGTGATTCTTCTGCCTCAGTCCCCTGAGTAGCTGGGACTACAGGCACGCGCCACCACGCCCAGCTAATTTTTGTATTTTTAGTAGAGACAGGGTCTCACCATGTTGGTCAGGATGGTCTCGAACTCCTGACCTCATGATCTGCCCACCTTGATCTCCCAAAGTGCTGGGATTACAGGCGTGAGCCACCGCGCCCAGCCATGACACTGAGATATTTTGAGAGAGAGAAAGAGAGACCACATTCACTTAACTTTTATTATAGTATATTGTCATAATTGTTCTATTTTATCATTAGTCGTCGCTACTAATCTCTTACCATGCCTAATTTATAAATTAAACTTTACCATAGATTCATATGGCTTATATGTGAAAAAACATAGTCTATATAGGGTTGGGTCCTATCCATTCTTTCAGACAGCCGCTGGGGGTCTTGGAATGTATCCCCTGAAGATAAAGAACAACTGTAGTTATAACTTTCAATGTCCTCCATCTACTAATTCCATAGTTTGTGTCATTTCTGGGCATTTTTCTATTGTTTGATGGTTTCTTTAGTATAGATTTCCAGAAGTGAAATTTCTGGGTCAGAAGACATAAAGATTTTTGGAGGCTGGGTGTGGTGGCTCACACCTGTCATCCCAGCACTTTAGGAGGCTGAGATGGGTGGATCTTGAGCCCAGGAGTTCAAGACCAGCCTGGGCAACATGGTGCAACCCCATCTCCACTAAAAATTTAAAAGTTAGCTGGGAGGTCACACGTGGTGGCTCATGCCTGTATTCCCAGAACTTTGGGAGACCGAGGTGGGCAGATTGTTTGAGACCACGAATTCGAGACCAGCCTGGCCAATATGGTGAAAGCTGTTTCTACAAAAGTACAAAAATTAGCCAGGCATGGTCTTGTGTGCTTGTAATCCCAGCTACTTGAGAGGCTGAGGTGGGTGGATCACTTGAGCCCAGGAGGTCAAGGCTTTAGTGAGCCGAGATCAAATCATTGCACTCCAGCCTAGGTGACAGAGTGAGACCCTATCTCTTAAAAAAAAAAAAAAAAGAAGAAGAAGAAGAATGGTGATGTGGGCTTGTAGTCTCAGCTACTCAGGAGGCTAAGGCAGAAGGATTGCTTGATCCCAGGAGTTTGAGGCTGTAGTGAGCCACGATCATGCCACTGCACTTCGTTCAGCCTAGGCGACAGAGCGATACCTTGTCTCAAGAAAAAAAGGCATTATATAATTTGCATTTGAATAATTAACAATGAGGATGAATATATAAAGGTTTTCATGCCTTTTTCTTTCTCTGAAAATCTATGTGAATTTGAAACCCCCTTACTTCTGCCCGTCAGCAGGTCTTAGTATCTATTGGGCCTGGTTGTTTCTTGGGACATCAGCAAGTCTGTGTGTTTTTACTTCCCTGGCAACAGTCAGAAAAACACTGATGATACTGTTAGGCCACAACCTGGCAAGCTCTCAAGGTGGAGGGTGGAAGGGAGCAGGAAGCTATCAGATGCCGGGAGGGGAAACTCTGTTAAAAATAGCTACTGCCGACTGAGTTTCTACTGTGTGTCAGGCCCTGAGTTCTTAGCTCATTTGATTTTCACAGCCACGGAGAAGACACTGCTATTCCCATATTACAGGTGAGGAAGCTGGAGCTCAGAGAGGTTAGCAGGGTCACACAGCAGGTACACGGCAGAGTTTGGGTTAGACCACAGCTCTGCTGGAGCCCGCCTTACTGTATTGGGGGTACTGCCCTAAGAACTCCACATATAATAAATCTAAGTAGGTACTGTCATAGTCTCCATTCCACAGATGAGTCACTGTATCTTGGAGCTCTGCCATACGAATTCTCTTACCCGCCCAGCATAGACAGTCGTGGAAGCCAGAAGAGCTGGCAGAGTCTAGAAATCGGCTGCCCCCACTCTCACCGCATACCTGAAGAAAGTGGACCCTCTTTCTCACTTCCTAAGAATACCCCCGTGAGGTGACAGCATATCCTCTCAGCCCGTGGCAGGAGACCTCCCCTACAAAGCCCTATTGACCAGAAGAGTCCCATTGCCTGGATTCCATCCACCATGACAGCCTGCCAGAGCGTATCTGAAATGAAGCTCCAAACTCCCAAAGGTTTGCAGGATCGGAGGTAAGCAAAGGAGAAGTGCTTCCCCAGGGCAGGGAAGAGGGAGGAGGGAGAGATTAGCTTTTGTGGGAGAGTGACCCACTTTTCTTCATCTGAACCAAAGGAAGTGGGTTAAACAACTGAAATCCCCCCAAACACTTGTCAACAGCAGAATGGAGAGACCCGTGGCGGTAGAGTCATGTCAACAAACCACAGTGACACACGAGGACATGGATGAATCCCACAAGCATAGAACGAAAAATAAAGCCAGACGCAAAAGAGCACAGCGTGTGAGAGAGACTCCATTGCCATGACATTCCACAACAGTCAAGCTCATGTGTGATTTCACAAGTCAGGGCAGCAGTTCCCCACAGCTGTACATGCTGATTAGAGGGGGTTACTAGAGGTCTTCCTTCAGGGGGTGCTGCTGATGTTATCTGTTTGGTGTCGGTTACATGGGTGTGTTCACATTGCAATAATTCATCCCTCTGTTCACTAAGGTTTGTGCATTTTCTTGGATGTATGTTACATTTCCATGCATTCGAATGATAATAATGAGGATGATGATGATGGTTTAATTTCTTCTTGTAGTGCCTGTAATCCTAGCACTTTGGGAGGCTGAGGCAGAAGGATCACTTGAGGCCAGGAGTTTGAGACCACCCTGGGCAACATAGCCAGACCTTATCTCTATAAAAAATAAAAATTAACCAGGCAGGGTGGCTTGCACCTGCAGTCCCGGCTACTCAGGAGGCTGAAGCAGGAGGATCCCTGGAGCCCAGGAGTTCGAGGCTGTAGTGAGCTGTGATTGCACCACAGCACCCCAGCCTGGGTGACAGCTGAGACCCTGTCTCTTAAAAAATTAGGTTCAAACTTCAGCAGGAAGTCCTTTGGACACCCTTCCGGATTATCGGATACCCTTCCAGATTATGAACAACCAAGGTCATGTAGTAGAAAGAAAGCCCCAGCTTTGATATCAGAAAGCTCTGTCTTTGGCTTCTAGTTTAATAACTGTGTTACTTTGATCCGAGTGCTTCATCTCTCTGAGCGTCAGTTTCCCATCTGGAAAATGGCACCAGTGATACATCTCCTTTAGGCTTCTTGTCATGATTACAGGTAGCATGATTGTCACATGGTAAGTGGCCAATAATAGGAGGAAAAAGTCTAGGGTTCAAACTCAGGCAAGGGGCAGGGCAAACTGCCCTCTTTGTGCACCTCAAGCCCAGAGAGTCTTGTTTCGGAATAACACAAAGCTGGTCACATGCAATGGGGGGATTCCCGGGCCAGTGGTCACGAGAAGGCACTTTCAAAATCATTTGAAATCCCCATGCCCAGCAGCTTCCAGACGGTCATTGCTGGAAGGTTCTTTCCTGTGTTTAGATCCAGCCCAGCCCCCTGCTGCTTCATAAAGGCCACATCTGGTGGGAGGCCACAGAGTCTGGGCATCCAGAAGGAGGCCTGGGGGTCAGACCTGACATGGATCCTGACTCCCGCTCTGTTTTGTCATCTGTTACACGGGGCAGGGAAAACTGATAATATCCAGCTAGTTGGATTGTTATGAGGATTCCTAGACGTAGAGCATGCACGGCACTTGGCAATGTGCTTCGTGCCGAAGAAACACTCAATAATGGTGGTGGGTGGTGTTGTTATTAGTATTAGCTCATGGGAGGCAAACAGCACACTTCCAGGAAGCCCCACAGGAGCCCAGCACATGATTCCATTCCACGGACATTCCTGAGCACCTACTCTGTGCCAGCCCTAGCCAGACTCAGCACACTGTGCAGGGAGCAGAGATGAAGGAGCAAGACAAGGCCCTGCCCACCAGGAACTTACAGTGTCCTCAGAGTGACCAGACACCTTTCCAGCTGGTTGGGACCTGGGCAGTGCAGACAGTCTGTGGCCTGTCCGGTGGGTGCAGGTGAGGGGCTCACACTGATTTGCGTGGAAGTGGGTTGCCCTGCCTGAGGAGTTGGAATGGAGGGCTGACTGTGGACAGCAAGATAATTGTCTGGTGGGTTTGGCCTGAGTCCTGCAGCGAGAAGCCTGTAGAACCTCCTGGCACCCCTCTGGCCACCAAGAGGGGCTATGCAAGGCACAGGTGATAGAGTGTCACTGTGGCGTGGGATGGGACTGGGGGCACGCACCTTCTCCGTGCAGAGCGTGGTATGGCTCTGACGCTGGAAGGCAAGGTAACTTTCCTGGCACCTCAAGAGTCTCCAGCTTTGAGGGAATCTAAGGTCAGCACCCTGGGGTAGGCCCAATCTCTGTGGGTGCCAAGGCTTCCATTAGTAGCTGTGAGTGGATGTCAACACTGGGAGCAGGGGAGCAGAGCAGAGGGATACGAGCAGCTGGGGCTCCCGAGACGCTTCTGGAGATGCTCAGCTGCCATGGCAAGGCATTATTTTGGGAGGGCCGGCTTATGTGGGTGGGACAGAGCCATTTCTCCCTGTTAATATGATCCCACAGGGGCTCACAGCCTCATGAGATCTGGCACAAGGGTTAGCCTGGAAGGGTCCACCATCTGCTCCACAGGAAATAATAGCACTTGGGCACACACAGAACCTTCTATCTTTCTCGCTCCTTGAAGCACATTTTATATTTTGGTCACTATTTTTTCCAAGTGCAGATGAGGTTGGTGGGGCTCTGCAGGGTCTACTTCCTGTCTCTATGAATTTGACTAAGTACCTGACATAAGTGAAATCATACAGCATTTCTCCTTTTCTACTTGGCTTCTTTCATTTAGCACAATGTTCGCAAAGTTCATCTGTGTTGTAGCATACGTCAGAATTTCCTTCATTTTTCAGGCTGAGTCATATCATCTGTTTTTAAAAACAGCTGTGTCAGCCAGGCGTGGTGGCTTACGCCTGTAATCCCAGCACTTTGGGAGGCTGAGGCGGGTAGATCACAAGGTCAAGAGATCGAGACCATCCTGGCCAACTTGGTGAAACCCCATCTCTACTAAAAATACAAAAATTAACTGGGTGTGACGGTGCACACCTGTAGTCCCAGCTACTCGGGAGGCTGAGGCAGGTCAATCTCTCGAACCTGGGAGGCCAAGGTTGCAGTGAGTTGAGATTGTGCCACTGCACTCCAGCCTGGGCAACGAGAGCGAAACTCTGTCTCAAAAAAAACCCCAAACAAACAAACAAACAAAAAAAAAAACAGCTTTATTGAGATATTCACTCAAGTGTATAATTCAATGTTGTTGGTTTTTGTTTGTTTGTTTGTTTTTTGGTTTTTGTATTTTTTTTTTTTTTTTTTTTTTTTTTTTTTTGCAGATTCACAGTTTCACAACCATCACCACAATCTAATTTTAGAATATTTTTCTTTTTCTGTTTTTTGAGACAGGATCTCACTCTGTCACCCAGGCTGCAGTACAGTGGTGCAATCTCGGGTCACTGCAGCCTGAACCTCCTGGGCTCAAGCAATCCTCCCATCTCAGCTTTCCAAGTAGCTGGTACTACAGGCATGCACCACCACACCCAGCTAATTTTTGTATTTTTTGTAGAGATGAGGTTTTGCCATATTGCCCAGGCCAGTCTTGAACTCCTGAGCTCAGGCAATTCATCTGCCTCGACCTCCCAAAGTGCTGGGATTACAGGTGTGAGCCAACACACCAGGCCTAGAACATTTTTGATATCCCAAAAAGAAGGGTCTCTAACCAAGGACTGACCAGAACCCGTTCTTCTCACCTTAAGTCTAATTTTTCCCCCCAAGAGGCCCACAGTCAGGTGCCATATGGTATTGTCATGGGCAGCACCACAGCCCATGTGTCCCCCACTCCAAATCGATGTGTTCAAGTCCTAACCCCCAATACTTCAGAATGTGACTGTATTTGGAGATAGGGCCTTTGAAGAGGTGATTAAGTTAAAATGAAGTTACTAGCGTGGGCCTTAATCCAATATAACTGGTGTCCTTATGAGAAGAAGAGATCAGGACATAGACAGGCACACAGAAAAGATCATGTGAAGACACAGGGAAAAAGTGGCCACCAACAAGCTTGGAGAGAAGCCTCAGAAGGAACCAGCCCCACTGACACCTTCCTCTCAGACATCCAGCCTCCAGAACTGTGAGAAAATAAATTTCTATCGTGTAAGCCACCCAGTTTGTGAGACTTTGTTATGGCGGTGCTGGAAAACTAATGCAGGTGTTAAGAGAGGCCAGAGAAAATAATGAATACACGGTAGACTTCCTGGAGGAGGTGAGCAGCCGGTAGGTCATTGCTCTCTTTCTTCTATCTGCTCCCCTCTGGTTGGACCCCAGGTATGCACACACGATCCCTGCAGGACAGAGACCTGCTCGGAGGGACTGGCCTGGTCCTCAGGGAGCTGCCTATAGTCAGGTCTTCCCTGGTTCATGGGGCTGAGATACATGGCTTCCCAGCTTGCTGCCTCAGTTTCCACCTCCATAAAACAACTCCATAACACATAAAATGACATTTGATGCGTCCCTCTCTAGAGTTAACAGCTTAATGATTAGGAAATATTTGGTGAAATGGTCACTATCTAAATATTTTTGCTATAAATGTAGAAATTGTTTCTTATAAAAAAAATTTTTTTGTAGATTCACAGTTTTGCAACCATCACCACAATCTAATTTTAGAACTTTTTTTTTTTTTTGAGACAAGATCTATTGAGGTACAATTTATATAAAATAAAATACATCCATTTGAAGTTTCATGGATTTTTACAAATATATGACGTTTGTCAAGCATTTGCATGATAGTGACAGAAACAGACCAGTGACAACTACTGGTCCACTTTAGTCACTGTAGGTGAGTTTTGCCCTCTCCAGAATCTTAAATAGATGGAATCACACAATTTGTAGGATTTTGTATCTGGCTTCTTTTATTTAGCCTAATGCTTTTGCGGTTCATTCGTGTTGCTGCTTGAATTTTAATGCTGAATGGTATTTTGTTGGATGGAGTCATCGTAGTTTGTTTTTCCTTTCTTCAGTTAATGGACACTTGGTTGTTCGTAGTTCTGGGCTACTATGAATATGAGGCTGTTATAAACACTTGTAAGTAA